TCTTACCTAATTATCCCAGTGACTCCCATATGATTCGTTCAGTGATTCATTCAATCCAAGCTCATTCTGGAAACGTAGCCCCGCGGACATTTCTGGAGACTGCGATTTACGTGGCCGGAGGTACGTATGGCCATGTTTTTTTTTTTTTTAATCGAGCGAACGCTGTGGGGCGGTGTGACGCTGCTCCGCTCCTCCTTTTCACCCTCGCCAGCTGACAGCTCACCTCCGTGTGGAGGGCTTTCCCGTCTCAACCAGTTTGTCCGCTTAGCTCGCAGCATTACATCTCTGGAGCAGAGGCCCGGAGGGAGGAGGAGCCGGCCACGGCGATGTCCGGGGAAGAGCGGTTCCAGAAATCAGGTAAGATGAAAAACAGAATCCAAAAAAATAAAAGCGAACGAGTTCGCAACGCGGCGAGATCTGAAAACGCGATCAAAATCGGACAAGGGCTTTTGTTTTGTTTTTCTGGATGGCTTTTGCAAATCGTCGCTTGGGTTTAGGGAAGGAGGAGTAGGAGGAGGGCGGCTGGGTCGACCAATTGGCGGCTTTTTGGAGACTCTACAGCGGCCTCTCGCGGATTTGCGAAAACAAAAACTGCTCGAATACGTACCTCCCGGGATGTATTTTCCGTCTCCAGAAACGTCCGCGGGCCTACGTTTCCACAATGAGCACGGGTTGGATTCATTTGTTCCCAAACCCTCCTTGGCATGATGGTAATCTGCACTGATTGGTCCAATAACCCAGTCTGTTGTGATTGGTTGACTGCATTCAGTGCGAGACAGTGAGAATTGCCCACTATAGCTTATAAACAATTTTGAAGTAGTCAAAGTGTATGAGTGAGCCCAATGCAGGAGTGCATTTAAGCAATGCAGTTAAACACCAGCATACTGCTCCATTCTAAACCATAAGTAAAAACAGAAACACACATTCAGCATTAATCCACACAGCAGCAAAACCCGAACTATTTTGTAACTTGACCGCCGCATGTGTGTAGGAACAGCTGACGGTGGCTAAAGCAAGGACAAACAGCAGTGGATCGCGCATTTAAACGCATTTAAATCCATAAACAAAGCAGCACGCGGCACATTTTCAACGTGGTTTTAGACACGATATGAGAAAATAATGAGTTAACTAGATACAGTACAAGCGGTTACAAGTGACAAAACACAATAAAATACATCATTTGCAAGCTAACGAAAATAAGGAGGCAGCCATTTTAATTGCTCTTAAGTTACTTACACTTGTGAAATTGAAGAAGAAACTGGTGCATGAACTGTGTACTGTAAAGTTCCTGTCAAGCTCTGACAAAGTCCCATACATCAATGGTCTTTTCTGATCTTTCCTTTAACAAACAGCCAAGAAATTCCCCATTGTAAGCATGTAGATTGCTGTAGCACTCGTCAGAAAAATGGCAGGAACACAGCACAAGGCTGGTGCTATAATGCTGCGGTATTTTTGCATAAATAAACTTCAACCAATGACTCTTCACAGCCTACTAAAGAGTAGGGAAAATAACACTAACTTTCCTTCACACTACAGAGCACAGCGTCTACGCAACTCTAATCCGACTCAATGATTTATGTTAAGCTGAGATAAAAGTGCTGCCGTCAAACTCAGAAACCGGCTGGTTAACCCTTTTGGAAATGAGCCTATTTCCAAAAAAACGATGGGAATCAGGATCTGCTACAGTGTTTGTCTTCCTCTTTTTCTTTCTACAGTGTTTGTTCCCGGGTCTGAAAGTGCAACAAATGGGTGAAGCTTGAGTTCCATATCGACTCTTTACCGTGGCGATTCATTGGAACCACTATGAGTCGACTCTTTTATAGATGAATCAATAGTTTTAAACACGGTGCACTTTCAGATTTAGCTCTTAGCTGGATATTGCACTTCACTTAGAGCTGTGTTATATACTGCATATAAGGTCTTTAAAAAAATAAAAAATAATAGGAGCTCTTGAATTTTGAATTGAATTGAATTTTTTTCAATATATACTTTTTTATATTTAACAAATGTAATACCCGAAATGTAAATATACATTACACTACTAAATATCACACAACATTACGTACTATACAGGTTTATTAGTATTACTGATATGTAAGTAAGTGGAATAAGATGCTAATGGTCTAATCCGACTCAATGATTAATGCTAAGCTAAGATAAAAGTGCTGCCATCAAACCCAGAAACTGGCTGGTTAACTCTTTGGAAATGAGCCATTACCAAAATGGAGGAAGACTGGCGAGTGGACAAAAGCAGGGCATGAGACATGCATTGATAGTCTGCCTTAAAGGCATTCAATGTGACCAGAAGTGGACATTTAGATTTCATTCTGGATTTACAGTTTTGTAAAAATCAAATGTTGTTATTTATGTCAAAGACAACTTTAAATTGATGTTGTTGAATTCTTCGAAAGTAATATCCTTCTAATATATTTTGATGCTACTGAAATTAACAGTGGAGAAAGGAGAGCTCTCCCCAGGCTTATTAACCACCAAGATGATTGGTAACGTCATCAAAGTGACAACTAAAAACACTAAATATCCTATAAAATTAGATTAAACGTTAAAAAAAAACATTGCTTGTCACTTTTCACTATTCCTTACGAACTATATTTGCCAATTTAAACCATTCCACCTCTGAGGGTGTAGGCACAAGATCTGTGTAGAAATGAGATATGCAGCATCAAGATCACTGTGAGAGACAAGTGTTCATATGTTCTGCCTCCAGGAGCAAGAGTGGAGCCGAGAGGATGAAGGAGCTCTTGAACTGGGCCATCTCTGATGTGGATCCAGGAAAAGAAGGGGTCTGGTGGGAGTTGGGCACATAAAAGAGGCACATCTGGGAGGTTATCTGGGTGGAATCAGGCCACACTGGATCTGGGTCCAATGATCATGTGCCACAGAAGGGTTTTTTTTTCTTCTCCATATATATACAGCTATACTGGAGGCAACATCAAGATCAGAAAGTTGGAGCTCTTCATATGACTTCCAGAAAGAGCAGCGGCACAAGCGTCCAAAGAGCTGTCGTCACCACTACATGTTAAGCGATTGAAGCACTATGGCATTTTTCAGCTGTGAGTGTTCATCAGTGTTGCCAGATTGGAAATGTCAAAGTATCGTACCAGAACCTCAAAATTATCGTATTTGGAGGAAAATTATCGTACACGAGTCAAACTGAGAGTATACAGCTATTATCTAGACACATAGCGTTTTGACACAACGTGCAAATTACCACAATACGTTAAAAAAAAAACTTGGTACCTTAGTGGGAAGGTTCAAACTCCACCCCAGTTCAGTGGCGTAGCGGACGGGCCCGCAGGGCACGCACCGCGGGGGGGCCCCGCGTGATTAGGGGGCCCCGCGTCGTCGCGATTTTCAATAAACTCTTGGGAACAATTGTGGTCGGAACTCGGAACCAAAGTTCACAGGTCTGTGTTCTCTGAACACCTTTCAAGCGGTGGACTACTTTATTCTGATTGCTTGCCGCCAATGTTGCCAACTTAGCGACTTTTCAGACCCCCCTAGCGACAAATCTAGCGACTTTTTTGTGTGTTATTGGAGATTTTTTTTAGACTGTCATTTGTCCATACTGTACCGTCCCTACTCTTCTCAACGAGCTGTGTGTGATGCCGCCGGCCCCTCCCCCGCCTCACAGCACTGACAGGCGGCCCAGTCAGTCCTCGTACAGCAGCCTCTCCCACCTGCAGCCCAAGAGCAGATCACGCCTCTGTGTACCGACGACAAATGATTTAGCACAGGCAGTGTGAAGGTATTTCCCTTGTACAGTCAAACCGATCTACTTCTACTTTATTTTAACAATTTATTTGGACCGTTTATTCTTTTCTTGTTCACAATCACAGATATTTTAGTGACAGTTTCTGAACTTGTCTGAGTTTATTACATATGAGAGATTACTGCACATTTACTACACATCGATAATGACATACTGTATTCAAACAGTAATAAATTTAGTTAAATAAACATGCTTATATAAAGTGTAGTGCAATTATAAACACCCCTTTATTAACCATAGGCTGTTAAACAAACAGAAACGGTAGAACGTGATGACGTAAGTGATATGCAAATTGACGTATGACGTATTCCCCCCACTTCATCAGGGGGCCCCGTCAGCGATCCCTGCAAGGGGGCCTCAGCATTTTGCGCTACGCCACTGTCTGAGTTGCTGTCATTGAATGTTGCATGTTGCCAGATGTTGAGGGATTTATTTTCTGAGGTGTGCATGCTTTGTTTTGATGAGACTAACTTTGTAAAAAAACATGTTCACAAGATGCATTTGAATGGGGAAAAACGAGAACATCAAGGGAAAACTCCCGTCCTTCTCACCTTCCTTTACAGCACGAATTATTTTAACATTATTGCTTAAAAGATCGACTTCAAACTGAAAACTACTGACCTAACCATGGGCACGTGCAGCAGGAGTGTTAACTCAAAGAGCTTAAGCTCTTTGGTTAACTCGTGAGAGTCGTTCTCCACGTTGATTGTCTGAGAAGAGGCAACGAAAGATAAGACAGAAAACGTGCCTAACTCCACCTACTCCTCACAGACAGTACAGAAAAGATGCAGCTAGATCAATAAGTAAAGAAGCCCGAAGATTACAATGAAGTTACTTTTAAATGCCATGAAATTCTAAAATTATCGTACATTATAGGATTTTTCTCATTATTGATCGTACATCGTACAGAGGTCGAAATTATCGTACAAATACGATAATTATCGTACGTCTGGCAACACTGGTGTTCATTGTGCTCGTTTTATTTAAAATAAATTCCTCTTGAAAAACCTGGTGCAACTTTAAGTGTGCATGTCATGGCTAAACACGTTAATTACTTTTTAATATAAACATCAATAGGTATTTAATGTGCACGGAAGCTCTGGGCATCTGTATTTATGAGATTTTGTATAATAGGTACACAGGGAGATGTTTCACACAGCCGTTAAATGACACGTAACGCAATTAAAAGAAGTTTACAATGATGTCTTACCTTCACTGGATGATCCAGACAAGTCGATAATGACAAAGACCTTTCCCTCTGGCTCCAAGTCTATCTGCAAGGACCAGCAAACAAAAATTAGGGTTTTAACAGCAGAGCAAAAGGACATCTTCAATACTCTTGACTGGCCTTTACACTTACAGTTCTGTAGACTGTATTCTAGAATACACAATACTGTTTAAAAACAGACTGTATTTTTATAACAATAATAAGCATAACATCTCTAAATTATTCAGAGAAATAAAAAAACAAGCTGTTTACTATATTAGGTAAAAAATGAAATCTGTTGGAGACGTCCAATAGAAAGTGGTGATCACCAGAATGGGGAAGTCCCAGAGTAAAATGAGAAAATATGATACACCTTTGTTTTGGAATATGGAAAAAACTACGCTGTCTTTAAGCTGTTTTCATCTGCTTTTATATTATTTGTTTCTATTTTATTTATAATTGTCTTTTTTATTCCTGTTTAAGTAAAACACTTTGAATTGCCTTGGTGTATGAAATGTGCTATATAATTAAACTCGCCTTGCCTACATTGCATCTCAATTAGCAGTGCTAGAATAACAGATTTCAAAATAAAAAGCAAGAGAAATATTAACAGTGAAATATTTATTTTTATTTAAAAATCTAGTGATAATATATAACATTTATGCCAATCTTTAAACGCAACATTCATTAAAAAATTGAAAAACAAATTAAATCTAGTGTAATTACATGTGGCTGATCAGATACATAATAATTTTCTTTATTCAACAAATAATACACCAACAAACTCTTCTATACCGAGAAAAGACTGGATGGTCAGTGTGTAATCTGACTCCAAAGGTATTTACGAAGTGCTTAATTTTTGAATTGCGAGGTCCCGGAACAGAACGGGATAACAAATCCAGCATGTTACCCAAGGATGTAGATGTGTGAAAGAGAAGAGTGGTGGTGTTGTCACGGATGAAAGTGAAGAACGGGGGTGGAGGGTGATGCGATGATATTGGGGGACTGGATGGCGGAGTGGTGAGAGCTGGGTGGGAGTAGAGGGAGTTGTCATGAGGAAAGTGAAAGTGAACAGCGGGTGGAGGACGAGGGCAGTTGAGGAGGGGGATCGGTGAAATGAGGTATAGGATAAGCCGAGTCTGGATCCGGCGTGTTCTGGCAAAAATTAAGGCCTGTATTTATGACACGAAAGGAATGCCTGCTTGGAAATGGGTAGAAACATGGTCAAGCTCCTGTACGCTCCGATACAACTTGCTTGCTTGAGGGTTTAAGTAACCCTTTATTCTGTCTTTATGCATAATCAGGTGTTTTGCAACAAGTCTCTTGCTCTATTAGTATTATGGTTTTAATGCTCCTGCAATCAATGTTTTAACACTACCACAGCGAAACAAGGTATTGTAGATAGTTCATGTTTGAAGTCCCTGGAGAGCTAATATGGTGTACTGAACGATCGTTTACATTTTATGTTAATACGAGTACATCATATTAACATTTTAGGAAACTTTAAACATCCAGCAGTCATCCAGAATGCATATGCAAATCACCAAGCTTCAGAACAAACGGGGCCATAAAACTTCCCTTGGGAAGGTAACTTTCTCATTGCTCAACTCAGCTCCTGAGTTTGGTACAAAACCAAAAACAAACTGGTCACTCAAGGCTGATTTATACTTCTGTGTCAAAAGCACGCATATACTGTACTTTGGCACAGCCTGCAGGTGGTCGCAAAGCCCTCGCCGTGGCCATAGCCGATGCGCACCTCTCAAAAAATATTTACACGTTGCAACAATGCCTAGCACAAGCTCTGTGATTGGTCGGTTTGGTAGTGGTGACCAGTGTGGGCAGGACCGAGAGCTGCACAAACCTGTAGGAGCGAGTGTTTACAAGTGTCAAGACCCGTGAAGGAGGTCCAGATGGGAAGTTTTGTTTTGTGTTTACCTTATGATTAAAGTTGTTACATATCCCTTGATTCCCGCCCTTAAATTGAGCGAGTCTGAGCTACTTTTACATTAAGGTGACATTCAGAAAAAACTAAACATCAGCAAAGAAACTCTAAACAGAGAAACATTAAAACTATATTGCCATCTAGCTTTTCAGGAGTGTTATTGCAGAGCAACACAAACAGTGCATAGAAGAGTCCAGGGAGCAGGCATCGACCCTGGCAATAACATGACTGTTCCCATCTCCGTTACTTTTCTTTTTTTTCTTCAAGAGTCTAGTGAGGTTTAGTGTGCTGCAAAACTAGCAGTCAACACGACTATAGTCTTTTTGCCGCCTAAAACTTGAAATGACAGTCTCCACCACACTCCAAGCCTCACAGGACAAAGACCTGACCACCAGCAAATCACGTTGGAACCCAGCTCAACAGAGGGAGTCCTTCACATCACATGGTGAACGCAAGTAAAGCCCCCAGACTTTACTGAACTGGTGTAAATTTTATATAACCCTAAAGAAACCATGGAAGGGATAAAATGATTATTTTTGGTTTGCTTGGTTTGGTCTTACAAAATCTGAGGTTTTTACATCATTACACTTTCCTAAACTCTTATTTTTCTTCATTTACTCTTCTATACATCCTATATGAATGTGTGTTTGTGTTAGGCGTTAGTTTCTGTTAGATTAGTCAACAAAGTTTCATTTTGTATGAAGAATAGTGTCTGTGCATATTTATGAATCTATTATCTTAAACTTCTGTCTTGTTAGCCTGCTTAAACATAAATGGGTTTTTATTTTTGATAGCAATAGCCATAGTTAAAATCAGCTGTCTGTTTAAACGATCGCTGGAAGATTTGTTTGTTCGTATTTAAAGTCCCCTTCAAATAATTTTCAAATTCACTTTAAGCTAAGTCGCTACACTATCTTAATTTTTGTAGCACTAAGTTTTATCAGTCACTATAGTCAAGAACTTTACCCACCCTCATAGGTCAAAATTTGTCAAAGCTGCTTTTTTTCCCTATACAGCAAAAAAAATTATGATCACTCACTGTAAAATAAGGGTGCTTTCACATTTGGTTCAATTGCCTGGGCCATACCCAAGTTCGATTGTTCCCCCTTGCCACCTTCTCGGTTGGTTTGTGTTCATACTGTCTTTTTTATTCTTCTGCGCACCCCGGCAAAAAAAAAAGAACATTCTATTGCAACCCAAGCCCAGCAACAGCCCTGGATTCCGACATTTTGGAGTGAAAGCGATCGGCCGTCCATTGGATCTTATTGCTGTTTTGATGGCAGGCAGCTGCTTTGTTTTTTATTTATCTATTTAAAAAGCACATTAAAGCAGAGATACAACTTGGAAGACGACAATACAACACTAACTCTATGCTCTATTTGCTGGCTGCCCAGCATCCTCTATTAACAAACTTCAATTAGTACAAAATGCAGCAGCCAGAGTTCTGACCAGGTCTAGAAAATATGATCATATAACCCCAATTTTATCCTCCCTACACTGGCTGCCTGTTAAGTTTCGTATTGAATTTAAAATATTACTTCTCACCTATAAAGCTCTAAATAATCTAGCTCCTGTTTATCTAACCAACCTTCTGTCTCGCTACAAACCAACTCGCTCTTTAAAATCTCAAAATTCAGGGCTTCTGGTAGTACCTAGAATAGCAAAATCAAGTAAAGGAGGTCGAGCCTTCTCTTTCATGGCTCCTACACTCTGGAATAGCCTTCCTGATAACGTCCGAGGCTCAGACACACTCTCCCAGTTCCAAACTAGATTAAAGACCTATCTGTTTAGTAAAGCATACACTCAATGCATCACCTAGCGGGTTCCACACAGGCTTCTGCATCTTGCTTATAAACACTATGAACAGCAGCTACGCTAATTATTTTCTTTATTCTCTATTTTCACCTGGGGATACTCATCCCGAGGTCCTCAGATTATGCGGAGTCACTGATTGGATCCAAGACCAGCGACGTGATGATCCCAAGGATTCCATATCCGGGACCAGGCCATATCCTGAGCTGCTGCTGCGCTGATGGTCGTGGGGAGTGGAGAACATGAGTCTGATTCCAGCGACGCTCCAGGGACAGACGAGTCTTCGCTGAGGCCATCTTCCAGCCTAAACCACGACGAATGAAGTTCTGCACAAGACTTTTGGCCAGCGGAAAAAATTAAAATGGACGTGCCCAACTGAGTCTGGTTCTCTCAAGGTTTTTTTTCTTCACTCCCATCAGGTGAAGTTTTTTTCCCCTCTCCGCTGTCGCCACTGCCTCGCATGGTTCAGGATTGGTAGAGCTACGCATCGATGAATTGGCTCTTCAGTGTTTGAACTCTCAGTAATGATTAAATCACACTGAACTGAGCTAAACTGAACTGAACTGAACTTAAACACTAAAACCTGAACCACACTGTTCCAGTTACTGAACCACACTGTTCCAGTTACTATGACCATTTATGTGAAGCTGCTTTGACACAATCTACATTGTAAAAGCGCTATACAAATAAAGCTGAATTGAATTGAATTGAACTAACTATCACAATCATCAGCACTTTTAATAGTTTATTTTACAGACTTATAATATTTTGTTGTGCTATTAGAGTTTTCATTTCATAATGGCCTCCGCGCCATCTAGTGGCTGTTTCCCAAATTGCACTAGAGTGTCGCCTCTTGGTGATTCTACGTTCTTGGACCCTGGTACACTTGCGTCATCCAGCTGCTGTTATGTTTGAGGCTATTGCTAGGTGACAGTCCCGAAAGCAAAGTGCCAAAATGGAAAGACTTCCGCACATCGCGGTCGATTTGCTTGTACTGAATCTTTTAGTTTTGGACATACAGAAAGCGACTCATGTCCATCTGCCACAAAAATATTATAAACATTCAGAAATATCACACAGTGTCTGCAGAAGCTGTTTTTGAAGGAGACAAACAGACATCACTGTGTTTGCCCTGACTCAGTCCCGCTTGTCACCAAGGTACTACTACAATACGTGACACACACATACACACACGAATGACGTTATGAAAACGATAGTTTGTTGTACAGTTGGCGGTTCACTTCCGTTATTTGGTACAATTGCATTCATACCAGAAGTGAACCATACCAGACCCTAAGGGTGCTTTCACACTA